AATGATCTGAAACAGGTGTGCAGGGAAACAGCTAAAGCTCTCAATAGGTAGGTCAGAAGGAACAACCTCTGATGTCAAGTCATGCATGAAGAAATCATCAAMGGTTTATTCACCTCTGGCTCCCTCTGCAGGCCGACGAAGGAACCCGCGGCTGGCCGGCCTGGTGACGAGMAGCGAGCCCAAGGAGAAGCAGACCTTCCTCGTCGTCTTCTTCAAAGCCAACGGGGTGCGGTTCCGCAGCGCCCGGTCGGCTCATGGCCAAAAGGGCCGCCAGTCTAACCGCTCCAAACCACAGAGGACTGCTCAAGATGCAGCCAAGGCAGCAGAGGCAGCAAAAAGTACCTAAAAGTTTGAGTATCATAGCACCAACACCTGTGAAATTACCTTTTTCCTATAGTTATTTATGTTTGTACATTTCAGATAACCTCAGCTTCTCTAAGGAAGGTTGTAACAAGCATGAGCTGTACGTCAGCTTTAGAGATTTGGGATGGCAGGTACACAGCTACCAGATCAGACTTTAGTTTTGAGAAGTGATGCGTTTACTGATGTGGTGCTTGTGGTTCCCCCCCCCTGATCAGGACTGGATTATAGCACCAGAGGGCTATGCTGCATATTACTGCGAGGGAGAGTGCGCTTTCCCTCTGAACTCGTACATGAACGCCACCAATCACGCCATTGTGCAAACTTTGGTAAGCCCTGAACAGTCCTCCCCCCCTGATGGCTTCCACATCTTCTTAAGGCTGATTTTCACTTTCCTTTCATACCTCAGGTGCACTTCATCAACCCCGAAACGGTCCCCAAGCCCTGCTGCGCCCCCACGCAGCTCCACGGCATCTCGGTGCTGTAYTTCGACGACAGCTCCAACGTCATCCTGAAGAAGTACCGCAACATGGTGGTCCGAGCCTGCGGATGTCACTGACCGCTGAAGAATCTGCAGCGATGTGCTGAGAAGACAGCAGAGGAGAGGAGGTGCTGTCTGGTTATCAGGGAACTTTAATCTGAGGGTGGTTATTTATGATCAGGAGCTAAAAAGGGCCTAAACTTGATATTTAAGCCCCGTCTGGACCGATAAACCTTTGAAACGACTTTTCTGTGGAAGTTTATTTAAGGTTACGGAGTAAGATTTGACGTAAACCTCCAAGACTCTGTTTTTCTGCTGTTTTTTTGGAACATCTGGAGGATTTTGGGTGTTATCAGGTCAGGTGTGAAACATCTGGCAGACGACCTATTAGACCTTTTAGAGCAGAGGAGAAAAACAAAGAGCAGGATTCACAGATTAAACTTACTGGATTTGGAAATATCTCACCGCATGTGTGAAAATCTGAAAAAAAAAAAATGCAGCTGCCGCTCGATGACAAACCGATGAAGCAGGATGAGCACTGTGATTTTATTTTGTTACAATTGTTTAGGGAGAAGCGGTGGAAGACGTATATTTAATTCACAATAACATCGTTAACCCCAGCCCTGGCTTATTGACCGTTCTGTGTACTTAACTCAGTTTGAAATATATTTATTTTTGTAACTTTTTCTAAAATAAACCAATGACTCAATCTGTGAGGACATCTCTTTTAGTTGCTCTGGTCTCATTCAGCGAATTTAAAAAGTGTTTTATGACCGTATCCATCAAAGAACAAGTCAGAAATCTCAAGGCAGAAGGACATGAGGTGAATTCAAAACCAACAGTTCAAACTTAAAAGAAAAACTGGAAACCTGAAGGACTCTGGAAACTGAACATTTCTGACAGATGAAATTTATTTGCTCTTTCGAAAACAAATCAACTCACCGGAAAACATGTAAAAGGTGCACTTCTTTAAATGTTTTCTTACAGTTTTGTTACAGATTGTGAGAATCCAGCCKGTTTTTCTACTAAACTTAAAAGTGAACACGTCTAATCAAAAGATTTATCTTCTAGCCCTGAGCCAAGCATAAGAAAACCGTCAAAATGATCTTGAAATAGTTTCGAAATTGGCTTTTTTCAGCCCTCTTTTCTTGTAGGAAGGATTTAATATTAATTGTTAATAACAGTAAAAGATTTACAATAAGAGGGTTGAAATTTTAAAGCATTTATTAGTTAACCATGTTGCCATTGAACCCAAAAGTAAAATCATCTTTGTTTGGTGCCTTAAACCACATTCCATTTTCAGCTTCATCCCAGTAACTGAAGTTTTGATTCAAGTTCTGCTCAAAACAAGCAGAAACCACCGCAGACCCACCTGTACGTGACATCACAGATAAAAACACACATCTTTGTAAAAAGAGGTAGAAGCTTCAAATTAAAGCTCACTGTCAAATTCATTGTTTTCTTTCTTCAACTTAGAAACTAATTTTTTTTTATCATCACAATATCGAGCAGGACAGACCTAAACTTTAAATGCAGACCTGAGGCAGTATTTTAATGTGCTTTGTAAGAAATATAAATGGATATGGTCACGATTGCAAAAGAAACACGAGCATTTTAAAGCTACGATGCAAATATTTAAACACTAAACCTTGAAATGGTTCCCATAAATGTCCCTAAAGCGGCCCCCCTGCATCCGTTTACACTTTGGTTCTCCAGGTTCTCACAATATTTTACATCCCGTTACCCTGAGAGGTCTGCATGTAGCTCTTCTCTTTGAGATGTGTTTACATCAACATGACAGTGAAGCACAGAAGCCTGATTGAAGAGGTAGAGAAACAGTATATATAAGTTGATTACAGCACAGTTAACTACATATGAAACGTGCCCCCAGAAGTCTCTGCTCAGGGGGCTGAATAGTGTCTCCTGCGGATCGGTTCTGGCCCTGTTTTCTGCACCCCCGAGGGACCCCGGCTCAGAGCAGTTAGAGACTTCAGGGGTTCACGCCCCTCCTCGGGCATCTTGGGGCAGGTCTTTGGTCCCATGGAGGCCGGCAGCGGAGACCCTGGAGCTGCGACGGGTGTGAGGGCTAGGCAGACGTCGCCCACGCTGAGCTGGCGGCACTGCAGGCCACAGAGGCGGGCGGTCCTCTGGGGGCTGCAGGAGGACCAGCCCTGCCCACGCACGAAGAACGGGTACTCCACGTACACGTCCACCAACTCCTGCAGGAGGCAAATACACACACACACACACACACACACACACACACACNCACACACACACACACACACACACACACACACACACACACACACACACACACACACACAGGATGTGAGACACAAGAGACCAGATTATTCACTGGAACGTGACACGCAAAACTGTGTTCTTCTGAAAACTGTGTTTTCCTGTGTGTATGTGTGTGTTTTTTTAAAGATTGTATGATTGTAACTACTTCAGCATGCATTCAACTATTTAAACCATATCATCACCTTCCTAAAATATGATCAGATGTTACTTTGATAAAGTTTTTTGTGTTTCCTGAGAAACGTGGAAAAAAACGGGTTAGGCAATTGTTTTTTTTAGCATGGAGGCGAATATTGAATTGTTCAGTTCATTCAGAACATTACACCTATGACTTTTTAATTTTATACTTTTTGAATATTGAACTTAATAGTTTTTTAAATAATTGAAATAATGGAGAACTATTTAAATCCTTGAAAATTGGTGTGCTCTTTGACATCTTCCTCAGCATTTTTGCTCATTTTAGCTTTTGGCTAAATGGTTTTTGCATTTAGCAATTGTTTAGCTGATTTTAGCTTTAAGGTACTTGGCTGGTCCTCTCTATTACAAAGCATTTTGGTGGCTTAAGCTTTAAGCTATTGTTTTGCTTTTTTAAAATTTAAGCTTCTGTTCATTTTAACAATTGGTAACTGATTTTAGCTTTTAGCCACTATTTGGCTAGTCCTCACTATTTCAGAGCATTTGGTTGGTTTTTGCTTTTAGCTATTGTTTTGTTTCTTTAAGATTTAAGCTTCTTTGCTAATGATTGTAACATTTAGCAAATGTTTACATATATTTTTAGTTTTTAGTTACCATTCGGCTAGTTCTCAGCATTAGCTAGCATTTTACTGATACATGCTTTCAGTTACTTTTTTGCTCAGTTTAGCTTTTAGCTTCTGTTCTAATGATTCTAACACTTAGCAAATGTTAGATTTTATTTACTTTTTGATTAATCCTTACTATTAGCTAGCACTTAGTTTTTCTAGCATCTTCTATTTTCAGTTTTTAACCTTTTAGCTACTGTTTTGATCAAAAAGAAAAAATAAGTAGGTCATCTGGATGGTACTGTTTTGATCTTTTTGGCTTTTATTTACTGTTTTGTTAATTTAATTTTGAGATTTTATTTTGTTGATTTAAATTTTTGTTCTGATATTCTAACTAATTACTGATATTTTAACTAATTATTCAGTTTCAGCTTCCTCAACAGATTTCAGCAAACTCATTCAGTGCTCAGTATTCACACGGCTTTTTATAGGAAATGCAGCTATTTTGTTTAAAGATAATTTTACAAAGAAAGTAATAAAACTAGTTAATTTTTTATGACTGCACAAACACTGTACATGTTAATTTATAGGCATTTGAAAGCGTCAAGATATTTCTGACTCATCTTCGGCTCTCTGTAAAAGGATTATTTTCAGCTGCTGTGAACAAAAGCAGCACAGAGTGATTCCCCCTTCACCTGGGACTGCTGGTCATGTAGCAGGATGAGGAGGCGGGAGACGGAGGAGGAAGCGGAGGCTGAGGGCGAGATGCTCTGCACCGTGCAGCAGCTCAGGCGCAGGTCTGGACATGCCAGCGAGCCCAGCAGAAAGTCCTCTGTTTGCAGGTGCTCCACCCGTCTCAGCCGCCCGTCTCCCAGCTCGATCAGAGAACCGGCCCCGAAGTGGGGGAGAAGCCAGGGGAAGCGGTTCTGTGAGGTAGAGGAGGAAGGAGCGACGGGGTATCTTGACTTGTTGTCTGCCGTGGAGCTGCTCGGGTCGTGCACGTTATCAGGGGAACTTCTGATGAGGGACTGTCCGGACACAGAGACAGCTTTTACTGATTTGTGTAATGAGTCGTGCTGTAAGTCCTGATGTGGAGCGTGAGGTAGGTACTTCGTTCCATTTTCAGCCTTGGACAAATTCTCTGTTTTTCTGCTTCCTCTTCTCACATACGGACCTTTATGGATGCTATACCCATGCCTCTCCGGATTCAAACTCTTGTCTATTAATGTCTTGAGCTTGTCCCAGCCTCCCCCMCCTCTGTGGAAACCCTCAGGTGCCAGGGAGCTGGCACTAATCCTGGAGGCGTAACGTGGATGACCTGGGTGGAGGGCTTGTGTTCCAGATAAATGGTTCAGTTGTTGGTAATGGAGGGAGAAGTCCAATCCAGGAGGCAGAGGACTGTAGTCTCCCCACTCTGTCCACCCAGGATGCTCTCTGAAAGCAGAGAGGATGTGCTGTTTGGGCCTCGCGGRGCTCTGATTCTCGATCCAGGGCTGATAGAGGGCAGGAGCTCGTCTCGGTACAGGCCGAAGCAGGCCCGTGTGTTTGGTCTTGAACTCGCCGTGGCCCCTGTAGGGGTATGGAGCCTTGAAATTGGCAGCGTCACACGGTTGCTGCTGGTGCCGTGGCGAGCTCCATCTTTGGTCTCTCTTTTTGAAGGGGAGGCTTTCCCTGTCTGGGACCAATGCCGGGTTTGTTGTGAAGCTCATGGCCTCACGCTGCACGGCCCTCACACCTGCACCGCAGGGCTCCCATAGACGAAGAGCTGGTTTCAAGATCCTGTGTCACAGACTCCATTAGTCTCTTGGCAACTGTGGCAAACCCAAGGTCATCATGATCTGAGCAGCAGAGGAAACAAATGTCGGTGCATTAGACTGAATGTCGAGACACAGATATGCACAAAATGAAAAGCAACTATTTTAATTCTTCACRTCGGGACATAAAAGTCTCAGCAAATATTCAGGATATGTTGGTCAGTACTGCAAGCTGAAGAGTTTGATCAATTAAATGCACCCTTCATGTTTCTATAATAATTAGGAGAAGTCCTCAAAATCATGTATAAAAAACATTTAAAGCATAAGGGATTATAAATAAGCAGAGGTGTACAGTACGAAAGTACAAATACTTTGTTACTTTACTTAATTAGAAACTATTTTTATCTATACTTTACTGGAGTAGTTATTTTCCAGCCTAACATTTTCACACAATTATCTGTACTTTCTACTCCTTACATTTTAAAAACAGGCTTGTTACTCCTGTTTCACTCTGGCTTGTTTTCATTCTGGCTAGTCATCGTTCATAAATAAATAAATAAATAAATAAATAAATAAATAAATAAATAAATAAATAAATAAATCCATATACAGTGTATGGCACCTCCTGGGCAGAGTGAATTTAATTAGTTGGATGAGAAGCATGAATATATACCATTCTGACACACTATTGGTTTGTATGATCCAGCACACCTGTATGATACAAATCACAACTCAAACTTTTTAATAATAATGTTTTAATATAACATTTTAGTCATTAAGATCTTTAGAAAAAAATTTGGAGGTCACCTCCCAGTAAATGTGATAATAATTTTGTTTTTAATACTTAAGTATGTTTTATATTCAAATTTTATCTTGATATTTAAGCACAGTAAGTGTCAGATACTTTATGACTTTTACTCAAGTAATATTCTCAGAGGAGAATTTAACTTTTACCAAGGTAATTTTTATGGTAAGACACTCAAGTATCACTTTGAGGTACTTTATTAAAGACAGCCAATCAGAAAAGTCATTAGCTATGATCTTTGAGAATAAATTGTTGTTGCACCTCCATCCATCAATAATCTTTACCAGACAGCCTAATGGGTGCCCTTGTCCAGCAGTCACTGATTCAGCAACCTTCTCCTTGAGTGGGACGGCTGTGGTGGAGTGGTTAGGGGAGTCATCCTGTAACAGGACGTTCGATCCCCTGTTCCWGCCGCTGTGTCCATGGTCAAAACACTTAACCTGTTGCCTACTGATGGTGGTCAGAGTGGTGCCAGTGCATGGCAGCCCCGCCACTGTCACTGTGTTCCAGTTTACCACCATCAGTGTGTGAACGGGTGAATGACTGTAGTGTAAAGTGCTTTGGGGTCCCCATGGGGCTTGATAAAGCACTACATAAGTTCAGTCCACCTACCATTWGGTAACAGCTCAATCAGCTGCAGTCTGTTGTCACAAATCAAGGGTGAAACCATGAAAATGAAATGTGGAAAAYAGTGTTTTCAGGGCAGAATTTCAAGAATAAGTTCTTGAAAAAGCCAAGGAGCTCAGACTCTGCAGGTCTCGGTTGTCTCAGGACTGCRTTATTTTTCCATTCTGTGTTCAGGTTGCTCCTCAGACCCTCCCACTCCTGCTTGTCTCCTCACAGGTGTTTGTCATTTGTTAGTGTCCATGTATTTGTGTGTCAGTTAATCAGTTCTACCTTGTATTAGGTCCCCTCCAGATGTCTTCCCTTATTGTTTTCTATAAGTTCTGCTGCAGCCTTTTATTTAGTTGAAAGTATTTTAGTTTATTGTTTGTGTTCTCTATGTTGTCTGCATCTGTACATTGTTATGAGACATTCCAAGAAAGCCTTTTTTTTCATAAAAAGCACACAGAGCAGCTTAGGTTTGTAGTTGCATCAAACAACCTTTAATAATTACACAAAAACAATAAGACCGATACACAGTTGTAATGCAAACTCCTACATTTGTCCAACACAGAGCGTTGGGACAAATWCTTCCTGTCAAGCACAGTGGWGGAGGATTCATGATCGGGGTTTATTGAGTTATTTCAGGACTTGAGCAGCTGGTCGTTACTGAGTCAAATTTCCAAACAGGCACTCTAGAGTCAGATGTGACAACGTTTCTGTCAACTTTAGCTGGGACCAATTGGATCAAGAGTAATCTAATGAACCCTAGAAAACAAAAACAAAAAATTATAACAAAATAGTAAAATATGGGGAAAAAAGGCTGTAGAGCACGTGTCAAACACAAGGTCCATGGGCCAAATCTGGCCCTTGTTAACATTTTATCTGGCCCAAAAGGTAATGATTTAAATGTGAAATAGTTTGATGGGTTCTTATTTCATCATGCAATCTTCTGAAGCCAAGAAATTTAAGTTTAAATTTCGCAGGAATCTTATTTTTGTGTGGAAAGAGAAACAGAGAATTGACTTTAATTATATTTTTCTGTGTCATTTTCTTATTTTAGATTTTTTTGGGGGTGGGGGTTATCGGAAGGTGACCGGTTCAACTCCCTGGACTGATTGCAAAAATGTGGGCAGGAAACCATTTGTCCCACTCTGGACCCTTGAGCATGGCCCTTAACCCCCACAGCTGCTCCACGAGCACCTTAGATAGCAGCACTCTGCTCCACGTGTGCTCACATATGCAGGGAGGGGAAAATGCAAAGATAAACATGAAAGCAAAAGAAATAAATGCTAATGATGTGCATTTACAAACCTAATCCAAATTAAAAAAATAATTTAGAAAAAGGTAATTTGTGTTTTTAGAAGGATAATTTGCTTGATAACATTTTGTCAAAAATATTGACAAAAATTGGCCCTTGGCTTGGACCAAGTTTTGAATTTTGTCMCCCTTGGGTGACTTTCATGAATTCATACACAACAGGGGTGGTTCCACGCGCGGGGCCACAGGGGCATTGGCCCCAGCTGAAATCTGATTGGCCCCCTGAAGTGCCCCTGTCCTGTCACTCATCTGTCTTTCACCTGGGAGTGATGATGGTGAATGCAGTTCCATGTTCAAACACTAGTTGCGCTAATGAGTCAAATAGTAAAGTCCAGAATGAATCAAGCTTACAGAATTCTTCTTTTCTTAAGAAGTGTTGAACAATCCTGCAAAAAAAAAGGTATTTCAACTGACAAATGATGGCTGGATTTTCTCACATGYGTCTTTGAGAATATTTTATCTATGTACAGTAAAATGTATGAAAAACTGGTTAGGAGAATTTACTGTGCAAGCCTTTTTTTGGTACCACTTTACAATAAATCTCCCCTTATAGATGACTTATAAAGAGTTTATAGATAGGTTACTAATTCATCTGTAAACACTTTATAAATCATTAATAAATGTTTATCATGCAGTAATTAGGGACGAGAAAGACAAAACTGCCCAGTTTCTTACCAAATAATGAGACAAATCTGTTCACATATATTACCTCTAAAGGTGCTATATTATATTTAGTCTCTTTTAAAACCTTGATTAATGCATAATAAACACTTATTAATAATTTATAAAATGTTTACAGATGAATTAATAACCTATCTATAAACTCAAAAGCCATCTATAAGTGGAGCCTTATTGCAAAGTGGTACCCTTTTCTTAAAAATTATATTACATTACAAGCGTTTGAACACATGGGGATTTGTSTGAAAGGATGTTGAACAAATACTTGGCCTCTCTATGAATATTGTAGTCCCTTGATGGCCCCTTACTCAGAAAAATCCTAGTTCTGCCACTGYACACACACATGAMCTGRAACATTAAATAAACCCAGATGAACCGATGATTTGTTGATAACAGAGATGCTTCAAAACTACTCAAAACAATGTGAGAGATAAGATGTATAAAAATATATATATCAAGTTAAAATGGCTAACTGAAGTTCTGCAACAACTGAATCATGAGGCATGCTCCGTTTTTCCCACATCACTTCTGCATTTCTTTCTTGTTTCATTGAAAAGTGAAAAACGAGCCAACGTTACGACACGATTTGTTGTTTCTCTGAGGTTTTACGTCTCGCATGTGAAGACCTGCTTATCAGCCAGATGATTAACTAAAACATYAAGATAAGTACAACTTTAGAACTTAAACAGGATCTTTTTTTTTATTTTACGACGACAGCGGCCTATTTATTTTCCTTCCCACCGAGATTTTGACAGAAGTGTTTTTTTTCTTTTTGAAAGTGCTCCGTGGTTAAGATCACCGCCTGCAAACATCCCCTCCACATCCGAACAATGACTTCACCATCAGCTTCAAATTACAGATTTCCATCCACCTTTAGCTTTGTTGACAGTTTTTTGATGAACATCTGCTAACCCAGATGAGTGGGGGGGGAAAAAAATAAAAAATGAAATAAAAAAGTTGCCATGGTAACAAAGCGCTCTGTGGTTGTTGAAAGGAATGAGTGCGGCGAGAAGAAGGCAGAGTAAAATGTTGGTGGTGGGTGTGAAGTTAGAGGTCAGATTTGAGCATTTATCACCCCCTTTGAGGTTAGTAGGTACGTAAGGACTTCCAGTTTTTTTCTGGGTTTTTTTTCTGCAAGAGTTTCCATCAGAAAAGCACAAAAGCGTGTGAGTTGAACAGCGTGAGAATAAACACAACTCACCTGTCGAAGCTCCTCACATGCACGCCACCGCTTCTCTGAAGGGGGAAAGACATTTTAGCACCTTGTGGTCGTACCCACAGCTGTTTCTAACCTCTTTTCTTTCTATGTTTTTGTTTGTTTTTCTTTTTTTTAAGCAAAGTTATGCAAGTGAGAACTTACATTCATTTCATCATCATATCTGAGCATCAGCCCTCTGACTGGACGTCTTTCACAACCGGAGCTGTCACGCCTCCGATATCAGCTCTATAAAGTACTTCTGTGCGAGATCGCTGCGTTGGTCACCAACACAGAGTATTTGTCATCCGAATGCCTGCAGTTTGAATGTAAATAAATTCAAATGGGCATCGAAGTCCACAGGTATGGTCAGAGCAGGCCTGTGATGTAAGGCTCTATCAGCCGTGACCATAAGAGGTGATCAAAGACACTATACAGCCTGCTTATCTAGGGAAATGACATGTAAACAGCAGTGTTTTAGCAAATAAATTAATGAGGTTCTGCTCTGAGGTCAGGGTTTTCTTGCACATCAGTAGTGACAACATTGCACTTGGTCAGTTTGTTGTTTCTTTTCCATGAAGCCATAGAACAGACAAGCTAGGGTTAGGGTTAGGGTTAGTCCTGACAGTTCCTCAAGCATCTCAGGGTTTTTAGTTGAGAAATAAAAGGTTTAACAATGTTTTTACCTCCTAACACGAGAGAGAAAAAAAGAAGAATCAGCTGATTTTACTTACGTGTTCCTTTTTTTCTGCACCTCTCCTTCGTCCTCATTCACCCATGGACGTCCCCGGCGTGAAGGCACACCTGAGGGACTCGTGACGTCCTGCAGGTGAGAAAGCCGAGCAGAATGAACGGAGGCATCCAGACAAGCTCAACACTATCAGACACACACTCCTCCTTCTCTCCCCTCTTCTCTCTCGCTCTCTCTCTTTTTTCCTCCTACTCGCTTTTGCATTTTACACTCCCACTCTGCTTCAGTCAGTCCTGTTAACCTTTCTCAGACAGATTCTCCTCCTCTACCTCTCTCTCTCTCTCTCTCTCTCTCTCTCTCTCTCTCTCTCTCTCT